CCTGACACTGGCTCGCTGGCCTAGGGTGGGGCACCGCGCTACTCACCTTAGCGTCTTCTGGCATGGAGTGTGATATTAAAAGCGAAATGGCACTTTAAGGGAGGCAGCTGGGTGTTCCCTGAAATTCCTTTCTCTTTGCTCAACAGGGGTGTGATTTGGGGTAGCCCCTTGTCAGAAAGTTAATATTTGGAGTTCCACGTTACTTTTCCAGCCCTTTGCCCTCCGTTGGAGAGCAGCTTTACGGTTAGGTGCTTGACGCAGCTTGGAGTCAGATTTAAGTGTGTTGGTATGTGGGCATAGATTGCAGGGTACCTTCTGGACTTGCAGGACCTCAGGACTGTATGACTGAGGATTCCTGGTGCTGATTGAAAGTTTAATGAGCAGCAAGGCCATCCATGTAAGGCGAGTATGAGGGTTTTGATTGGGTCACTTGGACGAGGAGGATGCCACTTTATATATGTCATCACCCCAGTTTGCCCAGTCTAAGGCCCAGTTGCCTAAGGCCTTAGACTCCAGGGCATGTCTGGCCCTCTTCCAACCCTGTTCACCCGAGCACTCCAGCTGTTCCAGGTTCCTTCTGCCTGGTTGGGTCCCAGGGGGCTCCCACCCCATTCCAGTTTCTGGAATCATCCTGCTGTAGGTGAGCCAGCCCCCTTTGTGTGGCCCACAGTGGTTCTGACACTGATCCCCATCAATTGTATTGGGGGTCCTGGATCTCTCTTTCACTGCCCCTGTGGACTGTGCTATCAGTTGAAAAAGGTTCTCTCTGTGTGTGTCTCGCTTGTTTGTAACACTTAATAGAAACTTGTTCCATTATTCGAAGACAAGTTGAAATTCATTCCAAGAAGGGCCACAGTTGGCATTAGCTCGCATTGGACATGATGTGAAAGGCCTACAAGCTGCACAGCCTTGCCCATGTGCCTTTTTCCAGGAAACCTTTCTTGTCTTTTTCTAGGAAACCTTTCTTGATCTCCTCTCCGCCAATTTGGAAGTCCCCGTTCTTTACACTGAACTCCCATAAACTTGCGTTCCTCTCTTGTGAGTCCTACTAAACCTTAAGCAGATACTCCATTAGTGTCTAGTGAAAGAGTTCATCAGTGAATACAGACTGTCTGAGATGATTAGGTTAGTTGACTGCTTCTTTTATCCCCCTCAGACTCAAAGGAGTAACCTGAATTTGTTTAGTCTCTAAATGGAGGCATTCCCTCAGAGTGGAGGGTATGAGTGCCATTATTGTACTGAAAAGTCTTCCTGGACACCCACCCTAAGCTTGGGACCCAGAACAGAACTGAGGCACTTCTGTTCACACCTTCAGGTGACTTCTGTGACTCCCTAGGCAAGCCATGGAAAGGCTGGGCTCCTTTCATTGGAAAGGTTCAGTCATGGAGTCCTAGGGCCTGAGTGTCCCAAAAGCTTCTTGACAATTTCTTCTAAAGGCCTAGGGGTTTTGCTGTAAAACTCCTGCAGGCTTATCAGGGAATAAGCCAGTTACTCTGAGGTACTGAGGTGTTGGGTAGTGATGAAATCATCCCCTGCTCCCTCCACCTCGGTGCTGCATATATAAAGGGAAGTAGTGGAGTTTGTGAAAAGAGCAGCTGTGTGTGTGTGTATGTAGGAATGGGATCCGAAGAACTGGGCTCTATTCACAATAGTTAACTGGCACTGGGGAAAAGTCATCTAATTTCTTTGGGTCTCAATTTCTTCAGGAGGTTAGTCTGAATCAGAATTTTTTAAATAAAATTGGTTGGAATGGGGGAGGGGAACAGTGTTGGGGAATTGGGGAGGAGGACCAGCCAAGTTGTTGTTCTTCAGTCTTAGTTGTGGAGGGTGCCAGCCGCCATCTGGCTGCCTTTTGGCAGCTCGTGGCCTCTAAGCCCAGGGCGCTGTGTTATAATCTTAGTTGCGGGTGGGCATAGCCACTATCCCACACACGAGTCGAACTGGCAGCCTTGTTGCTAAGAGTGCATGCTCCATCCACTGAGCCATCCAGGTGACAGCTCAGCTCAAGGTGCTGAGTTCAATCCCAGCCGCTGGCAGGCGTAGCCCACCATTGAACAGGCAACCTTGTCATTAGGAGCACGTGCTCTCACCAGCTGAGCCATCCTGCCACCTGTTGGCAGCTCGGGCGCAGCTCACTGGCCCATGTGGGAATCGCTCGTGCTCTTAAGCAAACTCTTAACTAACTGAGCCACTCGGCCGGCCCTGAATCAGAATTTTTTTTTAAGCTGAGCCATCCTGCCACCTTTTGGCAGCTCAGCGGCAACTCAGCTCGGGCTGGGCATCGAACTGCTGTTGCTCAGAGCTCAAGCTCTTGAGCGAGCTCTTAACCTACTGAGCCACTCGGCCGGCCCTGAATCAGAATTTTTAAAATATGGACACCCATGGGGTTGTCAAAAGAGAGTGGTCTGTGAGCCTTCTGGAATAGTACATGCCATTTTGTGCATCAGTAAAATGAACCCCACCCTCTCTTATTGTGGAACTGAGGGTCCACAGTTTTCATCAGATTATCAGTAGATAGGATACCAAGTTGTAGTGAAGTTATCATAAGCTGAATGTTCACAAGGTAATAGAAATTTATTATACCAATAGATACTACTATAGTCAACATTTTAAAAAATGCATTCAAATTATTCCTTTGTTGTGTCACAAGGATATATTTCCCAGTTTCTTAAGGCAGTATGCAAAAAACAGGGCTGTAGGACCACAATTTTCCAAACAGTTTGGCCCAAGTGTTTCTCTATATTCATCAACTCTCTTCTTTACTATCTCTATTTGTTTCTCTATTCAGAAGTAGTCTGTAATAGTGCCTAGCTTATTATGCTTTCTAAATTTCTGGTCCTTTTTGACTTTTAGGGGAGACTTTGAAGAAGCATGACTTTCTGGAATAGTAATACCTAATGTTTTTTGAGGGCTTTCAGTGAACTGGGCACACCGCTAAGGGTTTATTTAACGTGTTAACGTCTTTACCCTTATGACAATCCTGTGAGATAAGTACTATTATTATCCCCATTTTACAGATGCATAAACTGAAGCTCATGAGGTTAGATAACTTGTCCAAGGTCACTCAGCAAAGAGCATGGTCAGAATCTTAACCTCTATACTATACTGCCTCTCACTCAGGCAGGGTGGGATGGTTTTCATCACTCTTCAGAAAATGCTCTTTCTTAGGGTGACAAAACAAAAATGGTTGTGTATATGTGTATTTACCCAAATATGTAATGTCAGTTATATAGCTCCTGTTACTTTGTGATGAGTATTCAAAATATTTAGCCACTCAGAGTCAGATTTCATTTCTTATATTGGGAGCATCTACTGCAATTGCTAATTAATATATTGAGGGCATGATTTTTTTTTCTCTTTCAGCTAATAATATCAATGGAAAATATTAGCCTTTTCCAGTGTGCTTTTTAAAACCAATATGCTCAGTTGCAGAATGCTAGTTTCTAAATTGCAGAATGAAGAACTACATACCCTATTTCCTTCAGTAAGGGATTTGAACTTACAGGAAATATAAAACATGACATAGTGAGAAGAAAAAAGAAAATTCAGATCCTGTTCTGAGAAAAGGCAAATTAGAAGGTCAAGAACAAGAAGACTGAAATAATATACATTTAAAAGTACAGAAATGGAAAACTTATAATAAAATAAATCCAAAATAGATAAGGTAGAGGCTTATTAGCTATGTGTTTGAAGAATAAACACAAAACCAAAACCCCCAAACTCCAAACACTCCAGCAAGCGTTCTGGCCTTAGTGGACCAGCAGGGATAGTGTCACAGCCAGTGTGATGGCTGGCTGGCCAAGGAGGTACATTGGCCAGTGAGCATGTGCTCATATTTATGTGTTCTGGGCGGTTAGATTTGTTGATTTGGCGAAAGGACAAGGATTTGTTCTAGCAGCATAAGTGTTAAGACTACATGTAGACCTTATCAAATATTGTTACTGAGAGACTTTCCCTGAAGGCTATAAATCAGAAGAGAAATTTATCGTAAAGTTGGGCTCTAAAGAAAATTAAAAGTAGTCATCACTCATCCCCACATTAGGCAGTAAAAATTGACTAGTAACTTGAGCTGGAGTGAGCAACAATATTTAGGGTTTGTGACCTCTTCAATGCCTTGCCTTCTTCAGTTGTGCTTTCAACACATCAGTTTGCCAGTCTGATATTATATGTATGTTATCCCTGATATGATAGTGTATGGTTAGGAGTAAACACTTAGAGCAATAGTGAATGAAAACCAACTTAAATAACTTATTTTGGAAAAATAGGTTAGGCATATTTAGATAAATAGCTTTTCTTTTATTTCATTGGCGATTAGGAAATTTCTGCCTTAGTCCAGTAAATACTGTCTTTGAGCCTGGAAAGGGTTAATTCTGTTTTCAAAGTTGATTAACTTATAATTGGGTTTAATTTATTAATTGAGGAAATATGGTGTGATAATAAAGAACAAAATAAATGATCCTAATTAATTTGCTCAGCTGTTTACCAAATCGATTCTGGGCTTCTGAAGCTAATAAAATAGAGCAAGAATAAATCCATTAAACCTGGTTGATATCTTTTATTTATTTTGTAAATAGTTGCCTAATTGGTCTTTGCTCTTAAGAAATGTTTACTCTAGTTGGAGAGATAATTTATGATGTAGCTTCATATGCAAATATGTATACACTTGAGAAACACATATAGGACCCTACAAGACAATATACAGTATAGTCATGGGCCACTTGATGGGGATAATTCTGAGACATGCATTGTTAGGCACTTTGTTGCTGTGCGAACATCATAGAGTGCACTTATACCTAGATGGTATAGTCTACCGCACACCTAGGCTGTATGGTATATGTCATATATGCAATCTGTGTTGACTGAAATGTCGTTTTGTGGTGCATGACTGCATGCTAAGGATGTGGGACTGCCAAGTACTCTGGGAGGTGGCACAGGTCTTTGGGGTTGCCAGGGGAGAAGCTGTGGAACCTATTCTAAGTGTGTTTTTTCTTGTTTTGTAGGCTTTGTACCTTGAGAAAGGGACTGCTTACTCCTGTCAGAGGACTGACTCAAGGATTCCAGAATCCCGATAAAGAGAGAGTCTTCCACATTCATGAAGGCAAGCATGGATGTTTGCTTTTTAGGCCCATGTGGTGAAAACCGCTGTTTAATTTGGAAGGTGTAGAGATAGATAGTTTAGGGAAAATGAGGAATACTAAAGGTAGCTCTCTCGTAGACTTCTCATTTATAAAAAGACTAGGACAGTTGTGGGGAGAGATCACATTCAGAATTTGAGCTTTGGTTCCTGGGAACATTGGGGACTGAGCTCATTTAGTTAAATGATTTCCACTTCCTGTGTGCAGCTGCTGAACGGGAAGGCATGGAAAAAAGAAATCTAATGCATAAGTAAGAGGCCCTTCAGTTGTACCAAGTAAACACTCCTAGTCTATAATTTAGAGGGACCCTGTTTAATCCATGCTTAATTGAAGTTAATTTCAATTACTAATCTGATATGCAAATTATGAATGTCTATCAATTTAGGAGTATTTATATAGTTAAAATGGTGGCTTCTTTAAAGGATCCAAATAACTATATATGTATAAATATAATTAAAATTATTTCCCTCTTAGCCCTCAGCACTGGCCTTTCTTCTTACACTGACTAAACTAGTAATAATCATTTCATGTCAGTGAGCATCAGTAGCCTGTGTACTGTTCTGGCTACTTTCTGTCCATTCTTTTAGTCAAGTTACTCAGGAGGAAAAACAAACAGAAATAAGACTAATTTACTAATGGCTATTTTTGTAGTTATCTATGATTTAATTGTAATTAGAGTTTGCACCAAATTTATGGTTTGATAGAAAAGTCAACCATTTTTTTCATGAAAGTTAAAGTACATGTTAATCTAACCATATTTGGTTTTGATCAGTTAGTTATTGAATGACTAAGAATTGCTATAGTTAATTTCCTATAACTGGAATATATATCTTAAAATGCTAGGAAAAAAACACATGAACTCAACACATTATTTGAAACCCTATAGATTTATTTTTTAGTTTTGAATTACTACTGCTTATCTAATTTATTTTCCCTTTATCCATATAGCATGTTCATCTATACACGTGAATCATGGTGTGTGTGGTAATTAGTATTAACTGTTTAATTTTTTTTGCACTAATTCTTCTGCTTTTGGGCAGTGGGCATTAACTAAAATTAAATGGCATTCTTTGCTGTTCCTTGATTTATGCCTTTGCTTCATTTTTCTGGCTTAAGCTTTTCTAACAATTAGGATAATATAAATATATGATCAGTCATTAGAATGATACTCAGATTTGGACGTTATTGTTAGTCCCTGAACTAAGTAATTTGATCCACTGCCTATAAGAAGATAGGCGAGGATTCCGATCATAGTATCGCCATCATAGAGGGACTCCTAAGGACACTGATGCAGTCCCAACCCTTTGTTTGTTTATATAAACCCTAGTGATTGGCTCAGGGTATTCCTTTCTTCATTAAGGAGACAAAGGTTGTTCCTGGTTTTCAGGAAGCAGAGGCCTGATCCCGTTTCTGAGCTGTTTTTGTGGCATTAAATGGAAATTCATGGATCGTTAAAGCTTTTGAATGCATGAACCGCTTTTCATAGTTCTTGAGCTTGGTGCCATAATCCAGTTCTTATATTTCTTTGTTTCACGGGATGACCTCTTTATTTTTGTTTCAGTTCGAGATAAGTTGCGGGAGATAGTAGGAGTATCCACAAACTGGAGGTAAGCATTCTTGTGTGTTCATTCGTTCTTTCATCCCTAAAGTGGTATACTAGGTTATATTTAGGCTCCATTGATGGTCCCATTGTAGGGATGGGAGGGCTCTGTGTTCGGAAATGGGTCGAGAGGTTTTTTTAACTTGAGGGAAAAGATCAACATTCATACATATTCATCAGTTGATGTATTGTCTCATAAAATAATGTGATTTACATGTACTCTACATTTTTCAAAGTGCATTCAGGTATATTACTTCACTGATTCTCAACAAAACTTGTGACTTACTTAATGGCATGTGTTCCTATCCCTTTTTTACGTATCCTGAAACTCACATTGAGCGATTAAGTATCAAGGTTTGGGAGTTGAACCCAAGTTTCCTGGTTTTTCTATTTCATGCAACCCGATTCCTTTATTGCTTCTTGTCAGTTCACAATTAACCAGGTCCCCATGCAGTCTTTCTCTTCCACTCAGTATTTCCCTGCTGTAAAATAGGATAGTATCCCTCTTGTTGCATAGAATTTTGAGGCTAAAATGAGATAAAAAGAAAGCACAAGTGATCACTGGACATTCAATAATGTATTGTTGGTACAGAAATTATCTAATGACTTAATCTTAACTCTTTATATGAAAGTTTTAATTTACTGAAAAGTAGAAAAAAGAATACCTGTGTCCCATCCTGACTGGATATTTATTAATATTTTTCCAGATTTGCCAATATATATATATATATATATATATATATATATATATGCTGAGCTATTTCTAAGTAAATTATAGGTATCATGACACTTTTGTATACATCTCCAATAAATAAATACATTCTTCTATGTAACAAAATCAGCACGTATTTATCTGCAACAAACAAGACATTCTCTTATGTAATGCAATTGATAGTAATTCCCTATTAGTATATTACTCCTCCATAGTCAGAATTCCTCTTTTGTAGCTTTTTTGAAAACACCAGGATCCAAAAAAGGATTGCATATTGCATTCAATGGTTATGATTCTTTAGTTTCCCCTAATCTAGACTAACAGACATGTATACCTCCCTTTTTTTTTAATCCCCATGAGCTTGACTTTCAAGAGGCCAAGCCATTTATTTGTCTTGTAGAATGGTCCACATTCTGCATTTACCAGCTGCCATTTAACTTGTTTCTCTCTCCCCTATATTTTTTGTAGGCTAAACCTTTCTGGCAATAATACATACTTCATAAGTGAAACTTAGAAAGACATCTTAATTAATGATATTGTCAACATCAGTACTCTATCCCCTTGTCTCTGTCTTCCCTTCACCGTAATCATCTCTTCTTTTTCTTCCCTTTCTCTCTCCTTCTCATGTTCTCTTCCTCTTTACCTTTTGCTCTGCCTTCGTACTTCTTTTGGATATACTCCATTTTTTCCTCCTCTGTCTCTCTTTCCTAAAATTGAAGAAAGAGAGAGAGCTGGGGCATAGTGAATACGAGAACTGTCAAGGTGAGAAATGGGAATATGGAGTTCCGTGGCCATGTCATTCTTTAGTTCGTTCTTTATCACATATACATATTATATATATATATATATAT